CCCTTTGGTCTTTGACAATTGGTACCAGACTTGTTTAAAGGATAAAACTATTTACTTTCCTTGTACAACGGCTGGCCTATGGGCATACCACATCAAACTGCCATCACGATTCTGATTGGAGATAGAATGGGTGGCGCATCAGAATGAGATTGATCAACGCTGAAAGATTTATCGATTTATCATTTTTTCTATGAAAGCACAATATATTTGTTTGAGCTAAATCCGAAGTCTACTGGCAGTAAAATATCCATTTCAGCTTCAAGAAGTGATAGCTTCGTTACGAAGAGACGGTGCTCGTAGAGAGAACTGCCGTAAAAATGTGGGCAAAGCAGTCTATTCGTTCAGCCCGTTTCAAATGCACTTCCTTCCAAAGGTCCATAATTGCTAGAGAACTAACCCTTTTATTATTGTGGTGATCCTTTGTTATTGTTCCATTATTTTCAGCCTTTCCGTCCACCTAGTGGGACGTATGCTCAAGGAATCGCAAGCTGAGATGTGTTTCTGTTTGGCTTTCGCTTTTACTATGTTTATACTTTACATTTAAGCAGCTGCAAAATCATATTTACATGCGGGGTTGTCATTCTTTTCTATCGTGTATATTTTCAAGTGCTTCCGTATGCATGCACGTGGCCTCATATTACAATATCGGAACTCGGAAGCGTGTATTTGGGACCATTTTTGGTTTGTGATAAAGTGTATCATATCGTGCATTATTTTCGCGGAAATCTTCCACTCAGCAAGATCGATCACAAATTAGATCACTTCGTGCCACTAAAACACCTCATTGTTTTCGAGCAGGATGCATATCCCTTTTCTGCACTCCTCTCAAAAAACTCTCTCTACTCTATTTTGCGTGGTGGTGGGGGTGGGGTACTCAGCAGGCATTTAGACAGCTGCTTGTATTAGCTATTTGGGCGACATCAGTCGCATCTCGTTTACAAAGGGGAAATCATAAAAGTCGAAGTTTCGAAATTGCAGTAAGTATGAAATTCTCGGCTGTCTTCCATATGATTTCTATAAAAAGTCTACAAAGGTCTAAGGTGCTCTAAGGTGTCTATAAAAGTCGGCTTCCGATGGTCGGAGCGTTGAAAGTTGACAGTCCGTTCGTGAATCAGTGTAAAAAAATGACGATTGATGGTATGTTTCCAATAATTTCACACGGCTTTTGCTCGATTAGTTGTGGACTTTAAATTGACAGAATCCTTTGTGCGATAGCTGTCTCTAAGCACGGAAGTTCTCGCGCAACCTTAGCTAGGTTGCAGGAAAGTAAGCGCTTTCCAAAACCAACTAAAAAACCTCCCATTCAACCAGGAAAGTGACTTGGGCCTCTCATGGTATTAAAAAAACCACATAAATTAACGAAGAAGTGAAAGAACCTGTGTGGTAGTTTCGATGACGAGAGCCAGACCAAACTTCGATTCCCTGATACGACAAGAGTACAACTGGAAGGTATGGCACTGAGACATTATACAATGAATTTGTGCTTGCGAACCACACGAGACGAACATTTGTTATCACAAAACAACCAAAAGTGCCCTGAAAACAGACGATATTTCACACTTCTAAAATATCAGTGGTAAATCACTCCAACCTGATCAGTGCTAAGATTCCACACTCTCCGTGACCCTTTTCGACCAACTGTTCCAGAGGTAACAATTTGAGGTTGAAGCTTTCATCCACAATGGCGCCTCTCATCTTCAGTTCCCGATACAATTTCGTCGTCTCGTATGCACGATGCACAGAATTGACAGTGTTGAACAGTTTCGAGTGCATCTGACATGAATGTACTACTTCTCCCTTGGTAGAACCTCGATGTTTATCTTCATGTTTCTTGTAGCGCGCGTAGAGGTTTAAGGGTGGGGAGTTTATTCGACGGCCCGATATTTCGACCAAATCATCTTCCTTGAAGTCTAGTTCACCACTGCGGGAACGAGGCAGCGCTCATGGTCAGTGCCAACTGCAGTAAGTATTTAGAATACTGACATGAGCACTGTCTCGCTCCCGCGATGGTAGACTGGGCCTTCAAAAAAGACAACTGTCGAAATGTCGGGCGCAGAATAATGTTCCCAACCAAAAACCTCGTTATGGTTTGCCC